CTTTTTATGCTGCAGTATATTGGAGAATCGATTGATAATATAAGACTGTGATTAGGTTGCTTGTTACACCTCATATTGCTTAATATGCAAAGTTGATGCATAACGCCCTACATGTTTGTTTTGTATTCGTGAATGAAGGGGCAGAAAGGGCATTTACATTTTTTATTAATGTTAGCCAATTTAAAATGCATCTAAAATAATTTCATAATGATATGCTTGTTGTCTGTAACAGCGCTGTTCTGTTTCTAATATAATATAGGATGTATGATTATAATTTCAATTTGAATTAATGTGAATTAATGCAATATAAATAGATTAAATGATCTAGATTCTGGTATGGATGGTAGAAAAGTCATATTCTATCAAATTAGGAGGATTGGCAAACACCATAGAGGCAGCAAATGAAATTCACAAATATTTACACAAAACCCATGACTGGGCAACTACCTAGCGGATCATGTTTAATAACAAGATCATGGTATTGCATGCAGATAATAAAAAGCATAAACTATGAATACAGAATGGGAAACATTGAGTTTGAAGAGGCCACTTATGAAAAAGACCTAGGTGTTTATGTTGAAACATTATTTACAGTACATCTTCCAGCCCATGTGGGGAACCAATTAAAAAGGTAAGCAAAACGTTAGGCTATTTAGTTAAAGGTGTAAAATCGAAATCATAAAACGTATTACAAATGCACTAGTAAGGTCCATTTAGAATATTTACTATTTTGGTCGCTGTGTTCTAGACACATTCAAGATATTCCTGCTCTGGAATACGTCCATAGAAAAGCAGCTAGAGTACATACAGTACATTCTGGGACTGTTAATGTCCTATACTGATATGCTGAAAGAACTGAACCCTTTTAATGTCGAACAAAGAGAACAAGGGGTGCCTTATACAAGTATTCAAAAACTTCAAAGTCATTGACAATGTTTACCCATTCAGATATCTTCTGAATAAATAACAGAATACAAACCAAAGGGCAAAAGTGGAGAGTGAATTTAAATGCTAGAACATGAAGTTCCTCTTTACCCTAATGATTGTGAGAGTATGGAACAAGCTACCCAGCCATATTATTGAAGTTGACACCCTGGTTTCTTTTAAGAAAGTACTAATTACTAAATGGCTTAGATGGGCTAAATGCCCTATTTTCATTTGTAAGCTTTCTTATTTTTTGTATGTTATGTACAGTAGCTCTAACACAAGTTCGCTTGAAGAGATTAATAAGACCACCTGAGAGCATTTTTTAGGCTCTCAGTCAATATTACTTAGGCAATGTCAAATTCTAAGTTATTCTTTTATTCTCCAATTTACACATTTGCACATTTTGCCGTTCTGTGAAAGAAGAAGATTCTACTGCTGCTCACTTCCATTTTGTTCTCCAGCCTTTGCATTAGCAGAACTTGTTGTATATTGTATTCCTTTTTGAAATGTGAATTCAGACCAGGCTTCCATGGAATATTCCCTCTGCATAGTTACAGTATGTCTTGGGTTTTCAGAAAAACACTGGCCTTCTTTCAGTTTTTGAAATTTCATGGGTCAAGGCATTTCCAGTAGGCCTTAACTATTGTACAAAATGATGCAAATGAGTACTCTAACCAACAGTATTGTTCATACCAGATAAGGTTAAAAAATCTATTTTAGATGCCAAATATTTATGAAGGACGTCTTTTAATGTACAGGGCACCATGATCAGTTATCTGAAAAATTGCCTAATCTACAGGTCCAGGTGGGTGTCTTGAAGAGTCCATCATAGTCTATACTGTCAAGATATGAGTTCTATTACTTTTCCTTAATTTCAGTATTTGACTGGGGCAGTACTACCAAATGAGTCAATAGTTTTTACTGAATGGACTGGATGGACTGTCACTGATTTTTTGTGGCCTTTCTTGTGGTATTGCAAACCAATTCATAATAAATCTATGCTGAAAACCCACACGTGACAAATATAGATCCCTCAGTTTTGTTTTTTCATTCTGTTATGTTGTTTATTTCCAATCTTTTGTGAAGTATGTTATGAGATTATGCTAATCTTCTACGGTACTTACTGCACAGTGCTCCGTTTCACAGTTTTGTTCTGTAAAAAAGACTGCCATAAATAATGTTGAAGCTCATGCTGAGAAACGCCAACTTGCCATTTCAATTCAAATGCACAGATCAATGAAAGAACCATGTCTAACGTCGTCCAAATAATAAAAATAAAATCTTTTGGCTTTTTTCTCTGAGAGAGTTGGCTATGGTGGAGGGGGAGACAAATGCTGTGGTAGTTTATGTATATTAACCTCAAGCACAGCCCCTGCCATGAAGCAGCAAAATATTCATATGAAATCCCCAAAATAATTAATCTGTTGCATTTATTAAAAATTCTTTAGTTTTAAGAGAGGACCCACTTCATCCACCACCACCTGGGTGACATGCAGCATTCATTATGTACAGAAGCAGACACTAGCAAAAAGAGTGAGAAATTGTCTCACCAGTTGCATTAATGGGGAACTTTAATTCCCCATTAATTACTTATTTAATTAATTAGAAACGCCATATTTTAAGAGCAAGAGTGCAACTTAGCCAAGGAATTTTTAATTACCAACTAAACTGCACCTCAGGTGAACCTCTCAGCTGAAGAATGGTACCGGGTAAATTAATTAGCGATGTTTAATGTTGGAAGGAATAAATGTAATACATGGTCCTCTCATTATTTGAATTCATAGGTTTTATAAATCAAGCGAATTCATTTCACTTCTTAAGATAACATTTTATGCTGATCATTTAAATCTTTATACATGAAAATCATCTCAGATTTGTACACAAATGCCAAAGTTAATTATTTAAGCTAATGAGAAACTACTGTGTATATATACAGTATATACAGGTTTTTATTTTCTCATTTTGTTTTGGATGTAACAATCCCATTGTAATAGTAACATAAAAACAGTTATAATTAAATGACTGCATACTTTTATTGTGAACTTCTTTCATTTACTTATTCTAGATTCAAAGCTCAATACATAGTGATGACTTTCATTTGAAAACGCTATGGTACACAGATAAGCACTATGCAGTTGTCACAGATGTCGGAAAGGACGAACCGTGGAATGGCAGGAGAGCGAAAAGACCCTATGCGTAGCGGCGAGACAGGGGATAGCCTGGGCTCAGCTGTTCAGGGAGTGCCGTATAGAAACCTATGCCCTCAGGTAGCGGACGTGAGGAGACCTGGTGCTAGGCGGGTCTCAGGACATCCGAACGTCAACGCTGAGCGAAGGCGGAATGAAAGACCTGGAAATATATAGCCCCAGAGAGAGAGAAACACTGGAAGGACAGCAAAGAACCGGAAATGAGAGACAGGACAGAGAAGGAGCGCCCTCTGAATGCAGTGACAACAGTGGCATGTACTATATGTCATTCACTAACAGCAGATGGTTTTGTTTTTAATTAAATTAAGACCCTTCTACGTAATGTCACTCCTATTTTCCCCCATCACCTGCAGCAAACAAGCTCCTTTTGCATTTGCAAATATTTTTTTTTAATAAAGCTCACTGGAGAGGTGCAATAACACTTTAAAATAAAATACTAAACTAATAAAATGTCAGCTTTATTTTTTTATTGCTCGCTTTCAACATCTAACCCCTTTCTAAATGTATAGGCAATGTGTAAAACAAGCACGGTAATTAAAACAACCTCCAAAAAGGATGCAGATACAAGAAAATTCAGGGGTACATGGTATTTTCTTAGTGTAACGCACTATAAGATTTTTTTTTTTCAAATTTTAAAAATGAATGTCCACTAATTCATAGAATACAAACCTTGCATATGATAGCAGTGTAAAGCTATGAAAACAATCAGTAGAACTAAATTAGCATCAGCTGTGAGCCAGTGAAGGTGTAGAGAGGAGGGAGACAAGAGACCAGAGGAGGGAAAGATCAGTGTGATGGAGCAAAGAGTGGAAACATGACTCTTGAACAGTATCCAAGCAACAGGATACATCATGGATACTTCCAGAGGAGCATGTCAGGTAGAGGGGTATCATGTATGGGTATAGCAGGGCTGCTAGGGAATGAGATGTGCAGCAATCTGGGATGAGCTACAGAGATTGCAGACCTGAGGCAAGAAGCTGTTCAAGACGTGGTTTATTCAGCCATTTGAGTGCAAAGTTTTGGACTAGAAGTGGAGTAGAATGAGTAGAGTAGGAAGGATGAGTGTTTCAAATAATGAGGCAACAACATGCGATATGTTCAGTAAAAAATAAATAATTCGTTTTAATGATCAGACTAGAATTTTGATATCTATATACTGGTATAGTGCTGTATGCATACTGTATAGTATTTGCAGTACTGTATATCAGTGGCTCTCAATGTTAATGTTAGTTAAAGGAGCCTTTTACTTGAAATTAAAAGGGATTCTGTTTAGGTGTTTAGAGTTTATTTTAACAGCTGAGTTAACAGATCTCCACACTTCTATAAATATACACTTTGGTTTTGAGAAAGGCGCTTTCATGGATAAAGATTGCAGACTGCAGGTTTCTTTGCCTTAGGTTTTACTTCAGTGCTTGCACAGTAGTGAGCAGATGTCCTAAATAAAATACTCACTCAATGTTGGACTTCTGTTTTCTTATGATGTAAAAAAAAAAAACAGAGGTACATTACTGAGCACTCCCATAGGAAATATTTTTTTAGAAAAAATATAACCGAATTGTATGGGTGAGAATGTAGTCTAATTTTCCAAATAAACAGGACTGAACTTTTTTTTTCAACAAAACTGCCGAATATTTAATAAGATCCACTGTATTGTTCACCCAAATATTGTATAGTTGTTTTACGGAGTCATTTGTCATTTTTCTATGTAAATGATGTGTGGGAATGTTGAGGGGAAATAAGACTTCACATTTCTAATTTGGTCTTGAACTCTTAATTATCAGTATTCTGAAATTCTCTTTTTTATTATTTTGGTTGGACTTTTAAAAGGTTTATTTGACTCACGGCTTATGTCTTCTTTCTTTCTAGGCTTCTAAGGACCCAGTCTCTGGAATGGTACTACAATAACGTTAAAAGCCGATTCAAGAGATTTGGCAGCGCCAAGGTTTTAAAGACCCTGTACAGAAAGCACCTTGCAGAAAGAGGAACTCTTTCAGATGTTACAGGTATATACATTCGTTTATTTCACTTTTATCCAAGATGATGTTTCGAGGTTATGTATAATATTGATAACTAAAATGCAAACCATAAATTTCCTGTAGTATTTGGTTTATTAGTGTCCACTTTTCAGTTTTCAAACCCAGTTGCAGTGTTTTCTACTGTACTCCTCTGAAGGACATTTTGTATTGAAATCATACCATCAATGCCTTCATGTTTTGGTGGTCCTTTCAATTTTTGGTGAGGATGGTGATCACCTCTTTGATATAATTATTTTCTGATTTTTTTGCACCTTAGAAACAACAATCAATCTCAGGAATCAACAGATCCTGCAGTATTTAATGAGATTATCTTAGCCTGTTCATTGTTCAGCCTGGGTATGCGGTACATGTTTCCAGTTCTTTACATAAACTCTCTTTTGTTAAAAAAGATAAACCCATACCCCATTGCTTCAACTCTTGCATAGATAAATATAATCCTGAAGATTAATCAATGTAATTCACTTGAAATATCAACAGACACAGTTAAATCAATCCCACAGAAAGCTTAATGCAAATAGCAATGATAATCCAAATTAGTGCAGCTAATTTTCATATTAATTCTAATCTTTGTATTTTATTGATTTATAGGAATGAAAAAATTCTTTGTTCACAGTGAGTTCAAGATGTAACTTTGAAATTTGTATATACTTGTTTGATAACTGTAACGAACAGTTCTTTCCGGACCCTATGCGGACGACACAATCCGACGAAGTGGGGGAACACTGGGGAAACGTCATGCAGGAAAACGGGGCTGAAGACAGGGGGGGGTGTCCAAGGTGCGCTGGTGCACGGGGGAGGTGTGGCAGAGGCGAACAATCCAAGAGTAATCCTTAGGGAAAATCCAAAAACACACGAGAAAGTCCAAAACCAGGAGATCCATCAGAACAAGAATTAAAAACCACGAAGACCGGGTCGGAACCGGCAGACAGGGACAAGGAACAGGGGTTAAAACCTTAACGGGACCAGGCGCTTCCTGGTCCCGGACTCGCACGATATGGAAATCAGATGCAGAGCCCGGAAGAGCGTCAGCGCCTGGCTTTTAAGGTGGGCAGGGAATGGGAAACAGGTGCAGGGAATGAAGTCTTTAATGAAAGGGCTGGAGCACCCTTAAGGAGGGGGGACTATAGTCGTGACAGATAACAGTCTTCCTAAAGGGATTGAGTGGTATTCCTTGTAGTTTTATAGCTATTCATGGGAAATTCAACCTTTCATATGTCTTTTTCCTGTATTGAAAAATTAACATGGGTTTTTGATTCTGCCTTACCATGTAATCCCACTTTAACATCCACCCACCTTCTAAATGTTTCCTCCGATTCAGTCTTGCAAGTGAGCTGGATCCTGTCCCGGCAAGCAATGGGGACACCCTGGAAGGGATTTCAGTCCATTGCAAGGCACACACAGACGCACATACAGTACACATGCAAACACACGCGAGGGCCAATTTGTCCAGAAGCCAGTTAACCTACCAGTATGTCTTTGCACTGTGGGGGAAACTGGAGCTCCCGGAGGAAACCTTCCTAAGTAGTTATTGTACACTAAATTATTAGAAAATATTAAAGGTAACAAGTACATGCTGTGTTCCAATTAGAATTCGAACCCACAACCTTCTAATGCAAACCACTTTAAATGGATGACATACTGTATTACAACCATTATGCACATACTGTAGCAGGTAAGGAAAGCCGAGCAACTGCTTTACCAAATGAATTAAGGAAAACTATAGGAAAGCCAGATTGTAAAAACCCAGAGTGGAATTTAAACAGGGCATTAGGCAGGCTCTCATACTCCTGTGAACAGTGTCAAGGAACAAGGAAGTGTCCCCAGTCTCCATATGAACCATTTTTTTGGGGGGAAACACTGTTCCACCTGCCTCCTGCTGGTCTAAACCATTTGCAAATGAAAACTGTTTTTTTTTTTCCTGAAGGTCTCCCTTCCCTGTACTGAACAAACACATCATAGGCTACATTTTGATCTTTAAAGGAAGTCACTTGACATTGAAACAATCAATAATCAGTATCAATGTCTTTGGGGGGTAGAAAAATTGTCTCCAAAATACCTTTAAATCAGCTTTATAGAAAAAAGAATGTTACTGTTCTCTCTTGTCCAGGCTGTCCCTCCAAATTCCTAAAAATCTGCCATGATACCTTCACCACAGTACTTTAGACACTTTCCTCTTTAGCTGGTATTTATTTGACAATGAGGTTCATATCACTGTCATGCTGCAGGGAAAAGTTACAACTACAGTACATGGTATCTTTTCAGGAGTGGTTCTTTGCAATAGGGAAGGTCTTGTTTAAATAACTTGCAAGTATAATTAAAACAATTCCAGAATTCCACAAAGTATTTGTTAAGCTCCCTCATATAAATAAGGTATGTAGAATCTGTAAACAGTGATTCAGCTTTAAATGTCACCCTTTCTAAATAGGGCAGATCATAATCATAATTCCATCATATATAAGGGGATCCATTTTTTACTTGCTTTCTGATTTATACCAACAAGCTGGATTCTGTCATACTGCCGAGTTTGCAGATTATCCAAGAAAGGGGGAGTGGCAATAAAATACCAATACATGCAAGATACAAGAGCAACTTGTATACCAATAGATATAGTACAAAAGATAAATATTCAGTCCTATATTACAAAATAAAACTTTGAGGTGGATCTACTGTTTACTGTATGTCTTTCGGCTGCTCTGTAACAAGTCTCTCTCTACTTCCAGTATACCTTGTATCCTGCTTGCTACAGTAAGTCTTTTTTGCTGTGGATGCATTTTTTTCTAACATTTCTTTTTATTATTCAAGACAGAACGAAGCTGCAGTAAGCAATGTGTATAACATAAAAAAGATTGTCTGGCCTGAGGATATGGCTCAGTGCTTGTGGCATGTGTCTCATGAGACAGACCTAAAATATTTAACAAAATATAGTTTTATCGAACTGGTATGATATTTGTATTTATTTAGATTCTTATATTGTCACTCCATTTCATATAAAAGGCTTTACCTTTTTATGGTATGACTCCAGGAATGCATACTGTAGGACAAAAATATTTTATTGAATATTCATGTTGTTTATTATTTGACAACATAAACCTTTATTGTGTAAGATGCAGAGTGATTTTGGATGAGAGTTTGGATGGGAAAGTCATATCTGAAACTGGTACATATGGTAAATTTATTTAAAAGGCTGAAAAACTACAGTCCACAGTTATATGGCTAGAACTCCAAGCCTCCAAATTGTTACTTGTAATTTGTATTCCTTTCATTCATATATCAACATTATCTTTTGTCCTTATCGTGGGAACAAGTCATGCTTTCATTCAATTCTTTAGGTTGCTTATAGACTTCCTCTCCATGCTTTGTTATTTTTTGTGCATTTAGTTTTGTCAGTTTTCTTGACAATAATCAGGTATTTTGGCCTTTTTATGCTTTCAGGTATCTTGAAACTTAAGAAAGGTAAGGTTTTGCTTAATGTTCAGTGTTATTCATAAAACAATATGCATCAGCCAATAGATTACTCTGTTTGGGAGTTTCCAGGAAGCACCACACAGCTGGCTGTTCTCTGTTGGCTCATGATTAACTGTAAGCACTTGACAAATCCTCAGACAATCCGTATAAGAGGCCTCTGTCACCACTCAGGCACTTGCACATGCATGACTTTCTCAGTAAGGGCTCTATCTGTCCTTTAACAAAGAGGAGTACTTTGAACACACTGTTCTGCTTGGCTATTTGACTCCTTAGGAAAAAAGGTCCATATGAGCTGATGTCTTTACCTTTTGCAAGCTGCTAATATTTGAACAATGATTGTTTGTTCAAACCTTCATTGGAAAATTAGAATAATAAAATGGAAAATCATTACTTAATAACAGTAATGTTTGTGTGTAAGGTTCTGCTGATTTTTTCATTATTTGTAGTCATTATACCAGAAGCCAGTAACATTTTAGGAGCTATGAATTAACCTATAATGAGCAAATTGTGCCTAAACTCCATGCTTGAAATGGGCTGTTTTATGATGGTATTATATGCCATACAAGCACAATATACATATACAGTACCTCATATACTTGCCAGCACCTTGTAACTCATAGCAATAATAGTATTTTAATACCAAATCAAAATACAGCTTTGCTATTAAATATAAACAAAAAGAAAAGATTTCTTCTTGCTGCAGTTATGATGTACTCCCTTTTTCCAGATCAACTCAACTGTCTCAGTTTTGCTGTGTCAGTCCATGTCCAAAAACCCACTTGTATTCAAGGGATCTGTTGACTTTTAGATTTCCATTCTGTGCACCTGTAAATTGACATTTGCAAAATGTTTCTAATGTTAGGACCACAGCTGAAGGGAGTTGATGCTTTAATGAGCTACAGATGTGGAAAGTGCTACTTAAACAGTCTGTCTGACTCATCTGACAGGAAATGTTTTATAAATTGCATGGTTCTCTCTCTTGTGTTGACCCCCCCTCATCCTACCCCTACCCATCACGAGTGGAGTATGAGTGTATGGGTATCTAGCCACCCCAAGCTACTGAGGTGCAAGTTTGTGTTCGAAGTAGGTTATGGCATCTAGGATGCTGTTGAGGGAATGAACTAAACGTTTTTACTTAAATATGAATTATATCTTGTTGGCTATATATTACTGTACTTATATTTTGCTAACTCTGTCTCAGGATGTCTTGTCTCAAAAGATAATACAGCACGTTATGCATAGCTGGCATAGTTCTCAGGGAAATGACCGAGTGACCTCTCCTGGAACAAATGGTCTATTCAGCAGAAGGGGCTGCTTGTCACGCAAGCCAGCAATAAAGAAAATATATGTACTGGTCAGCTTTCTAGAATGACCATATATAGCCACAATGCAAGCAGAGATTAATGTGGAACTATATCTTGTATCGTTTGTTTCACTGTATGAAAGAGCACTGTAAACGTTGTCTTTTGAGTCTTGCGTACAAGAGCAAGACTCCCATATGC